TCAGAGGCACATACAGCACCCTATTTGGCCCATTCCAGGAGCACGAAGATGTATCACGACCTGAAAGGGTCGTTCTGGTGGCGAGGCTTGAAGAAGGACGTCGCCGAGTTTGTCAGGAGGTGTCTTACCTGTCAGCAAGTCAAAGCCGAACATCAGAGTACGATTGGCCTCCTGCAACCACTACCGATTCCGAGGTGGAAGTGGGAGGAAGTCACGATGGATTTCGTTACGGGATTACCGAGGTCATCTGAACATCACGACGCTATCTGGGTCGTGGTCAACATATTGACTAAGGTTGCGCATTTCTTACCCGTTTCAATGAAGATGTCTCTGGACAAATTGGCTGAGATTTATACTCGTGGGATTATTCGACTCCACGGAGTGTCCGTCACGATTGTATCAGATAGAGATCCCATATTCGTCAGTCGATTCTGGCACAGCTTACATGAGGCGATGGGCACGAAGTTAGAGTTTAGTTCAGCCTACCATCCGGAGACGGACGGTCAGTCAGAGCAGACTATTCAGACGCTTGAGGTTATGCTTCGCGCTTTGGTTGTTGACAGGGGTGCTAAGTGGGAGTCACTATTGCCGTACGCTGAGTTCGCGTATAACAACAGCTATCATTCTTCCATTCAGATGGCTCCTTATGGGGCACTTTATGGTCGCAAGTGTCGTTCTCCTCTCTACTGGGACGACGTCGGAGAGCGACGAGTACTCGGTCCTAAGATGATCGAGGAGACAGCGGAGCAGGTCGAGTTGATCCGGCAGAGGCTCAGGACAGCTCAGAGTCGACAGAAATCTCCCGCCGATCATCATCGACGAGACATTCAGTTCGAGGTTGGTGAGCCAGCCTTTCTCAGAGTTCGTCCGATTCGCGGAGTTGTGCGATTCGGGAAGAGAGGGAAGCTGCACCCTCGTTTCATCGGTCCGTTCGAGGTTCTCGAGCGAGTAGACGAGGTCGCGTATCGGTTAGCCCTACCTCCCGAGTTATCAGGCATTCATAATGTTTTTCACGCATCGATGTTGCGTAAGTACGTGTGCGACCCCGATCATGTCATTCCTCATACAGATATTCAAGTTCAGTCAAATCTTACGTACGAGGAGCGACCGGTAGCTGTACTAGATCGTCAGGTTCGTCGGCTCCGGAAGCGAAATATTCCCCTCGTGCGTATTCAGTGGGATCGCCACGGAGCTACTTGGGAGGAAGAGTCCGACATTCGCGCTCGTTTCCCAGATTTTCAGTTTTGATGTACATATTTCTTTATCCTATGTACACAGTTCATGTATATCAGTCATGTTTTGAAATTTCCGAGGACGGAAATTTTGTAAGGAGAGAGGATTGTAATATCCCGATATTTTATCGGTATAAATTACGTTTTAATTCCAAGATAATAATGTTATCGTTTATTATTATCGGAATTATTTATTTCAATCGAGATTACCGAAATTTATTTTCGACGTACCGTTTACGTTCGGAATAATTTTGGTAATTAAGTATCATGTTTAATTAAATTATTAAACATAAGTAGTGATTAATTATTGAATTAATCACACACTTACGCCTAATAGCCGTGACTTATAAATTTTGCCAAATATTGTAGCAAAAGACCGTGAGATATACCTAAGTAAATGGTACCAATAGTATGCAAGTTCTTCACACTTAAGGAAGTGATTTCCTTTCCTCCATTTAGCCTTACACGTGTTCTAAGGAGAAGTATAGGAAGAAGCTTAGTCACCCAAATTAAGCTAAGGAGGTTATATGTGCAAGGCCCTAGAGTTGGCCACGCCTCACCAACGTCAACCCAAAATCTTCCCCCACGGCATTATATATAAGTTGGAGATGATGAAAATTTTCCCTCAATTTCCTTATAAGCTTGAGCAGCATATAATCAGCCTTTCCTTACCTCTTACAACAGCAAGTTAGTCCGAACAATTTTCCCTCAAATCCTTATAAATCGCACGGCAAACCAAAGTATACACACGGCACACGCAAAGGCAAAGGATCACACCCTATTTTCCGATTTCAGTCGTTCGATCAGAGAGGTAACCTTTCCTTCAGTTTGTATTCATGTTAATAAGGTCATATTAAGGTTAAGTGTTCGATCTATTTTCGAGAATTTCAAATAAAACCGTGCCTAAGTCCGTATATGCGTAAGTAAGGTCATGACCGAGTTATTTTTGATTTCTTCCGGCAACTCTCAAACCATTATCATTTAAATGTTCAGTTTAACTAAATTCATGTTCAATAAGATCAGCTTTGTCGAAGCAAAATGAGTTTTGTTGAGGAATTGGCCCACGCCGTCGCTAGCGCCTATCGCGCGTAGCCACGGGCGGCCGTGGTCCGTACCTTAGTGAGTTTAGTAATCATCATGTTCAGTCGTGTGTTTATGTTTTAAATTGCTTCAGTATGTTTTTCATGTCATGTTGTTCTGAAGTTGCCGAGGAATAAGGTATTCTGGCCGAGAGACGGCGTATAGCCGTCGGCGGCGCATGGCGCGCCCGCCGCGGTCCTTTCATGTTCAGTGTGCATTAGTTGTGTTTTCAGGTCATAATACTCATGTTAAGTTATGTTATGTTCAGTGATGATTGAGTTGGTCGAAGAT